GTGCAGACGTCCTCAAACCTAAGCCCCTAAGGCTCATATAGAGGGATTTTAATGGGAACCCCACATGAAACCAAGCCCTCGAGCCTCACATAGAGGCTCTGTAATGGGGACCCCCAAATAGGGAACCCCAAGAATATGGTAGGAATAGAATCAACCTTAAACCTTAAACCCTAGGAATCCCTAAACCCAAAACCATAAACCCTAAACCCTAAACCAATAGACTTGTCGGGATCCCTATCTTCGTATCGTATTCCTACTATATTCTTGGCGTTTCTTGTTTGGGGTCCCCATCAGGGTTTAGGGTTTAGGGTTTAGGTCCCCATCGCCCACACCCCGGCCACTTACTGGTGCTTTGGTGGGTAGCCCAATATGGATATATCTGAAGTTGTCTCTAGTTGTAATACCCTAAACCGTAAACCTAGGGATTCACTCCCCTATACCCCCCCCCTTCCCAAACTCTAGACCCTAAACCCTAAACCCACAATCGTATCAAGGTGGTATGACGATTCTCGATATTTCCCGAAAGGCGCATGGCCTGGGGAGGATCACAGGGCTAAGGTTCAATAGCTTCAGCTTCACAGGGCTTTTAGGGTTTATAAAGGGTTTAGGGTTTAGGGTTTAAGATTTAGGGTTTAGGGTTTAGGGTTTATAAGTTTTAGGATTTGGGGCTTGGGGAACAGGATGAGGGTTGGGATACATGGTTTAGGGTTGTGCAACGCGTCCTTAGGTCCTAGACCCTAAACCCCGAAACCCTAAACCCTAAGCCCTAAATAGGGCCTTAGGGTCTGCTGTGCTATAGTTATACTCGGATGATATGAGCTTTAGTCTAACCTCCTTAAAGGGGGTTATATGGGGGATTATATAGGATTTAGGGTTTAGGGTCTAAACTCCTTAAAGGGTGGTTATATGAGGGGGGTTATACAGGGTTTAGGGTTTAAGGGATTATATAGGGGGATTATTATAGGGCTCGTCAACAGGGATACTAGGACTTTAGATTATGGCCCCTATGGTTAACGAACTGCTTAGGCTTCTACAGTAAGGGTTTTCGAGGGTTTTCGTACTGTTGAGGGGAGTGAATATGGGTACAGCTATAGGGGATTGTCCACGAGTTTTAAGGGTTTAGGGTTTAGGGCCTTGAACAGTTCTGTACGCCATCTGAACCTTCAGCCCTAAAATTAAAAAACCCTGAACCGTCCCTACCCGTAAACTTGCCGCTGCTGAAGGTGCGAGTGGGGAAGTGGATCCCTGTAATCGGGTTCAGGGTTCTAGGGTCTGAAACTTGGGGTTTGGGGTTTTGGGTGCCAGTTGAAGATATAGTCCCCCTTTAAGTAGATAGAATATGGCTCTGGGTATATTAGAACAAGATCCCCATATACCCCATATTCTATCTACCTACGAGGGACATGACAGTGCAGCTTGTACCCAATAAGCGTATACAGCCAGGCATGTTGCAACCCTAGACTAGACCCTAAACCTGAAACCCCTAAACTCTAAAGTCTAAGCAACATCTTGTGTTGATAGCTGCCTGCAGTGTGCCCGAAGTCACTGCATAATTTCAAGTGTAGGCTACGTCAAAGTCCAACTCTACGTCGCGCTTGTAGAATTTTTAGCTACCTCCCTAAACCCCGAAACCCGAACACTCAACCCTGAACCCTGCATCCTAAACAAATTGTAGAAGTGTCGTTTGATTTTGGTTTCAGGTGGCCCTCTTGAAGCGAGCCTGCTGTTAACCAACCTAGACTAACCGGGGTCTAGCAGTTTAGGGTTCGAGGTTTAGGGTTTAGGGCTAAGCTACCGTAATATGGGTTCATGCAACAGGAATGTTGCTTAGTTCAATTTACTTGTGCAGACGCTGATTGTTCAAAGCTCATATGTGTAGAAGCCTGGAAAAACAACACGTATATCCTCCGTAATAGTGACATGATGGGACACGATGTGGCCCCAAATTGTATCCCCCTTAAGAACCCCTGTAATACTCTCCTATATGATCCCCTAGATGGCTCCACATATGGCTATAGCTCATGTGGAGTGTGTGGGACGGAACGCGGAGAGTTACTTTGTTTGGTAATCCAGCAAGCCAGCTCCTGCGTCGATTCTGCCCTTTCTCTCTGTTAGGCCGTACCTTAGAGTGAAACAGGGCAGAATATTAGCCTTTTGGACAGATGTGCTTTTGTGTCTTGCGAGAGAGAGAGAGGGCGGGAAAGAAGGAGAGACATCGAGAGAGAGAGAGAGAGAGAGAAATGGAGAGACATTTTTCTGCACTCTCAGTTCGTGCTGAACCGCCTGCTGCGGACAAGGTCTGAGGCTGCGCTTGCAGCGGCTTTCCGCGGGTGGCATACCACTGCCATTGCAGAGGTGCAAGAGCGGGAAGCAGCGATTATGGAGGAACAGCTGCTTCAGCTGGAGCACCGCCTTCGCCTGCACGATTCCTGGCTGTGGGAGGCGTATAAGATCCGACGCTGGTGGCCGCGTCAGCGTTTACACTGATCTTGTCCCGCCTGCTCTGGCTCGATTGGGCTGTGGGTCTAGGGATTTAGGGTTTAGGGTTTGATGATAACCGTAGGTATCAGTTAAATCCTCAATCCGAAGACGCGGTCCACCTACGCCCAGCCATAGACGTGTCAACTCCAGATATCAATCACGGGAACCAAATTCTTCAGATTGGTAGTGTTTAGGTGTGAGGTTTACGGCAAGGCTAAGGGTTTAAGGTTTAAGCTTCAGGATTTAGCATTTCTGGATTACGGTCTGTGGGTTTTGGGTTGAAGGTTGAGGGGCTAGGGTTATGGTCAGGGTTGTATAGCTTGTTAGACTTTATCATAGCATTTCGTAGGAAAGAAGTCATCTTGCTTAGGTCCAGCAGCAAACCAAGTTCAAGGCTATATTGGGGTAATATTGGGATAATGGAAAAGAAAATGGAAACTACTATTTGGGGTTTAGGGTTGAGTGCAGGAACAAGATTTGGGGTTTAGGGTTGGGTGGAGGAACAAGACATAGGTAACCCTGAACCGTGTAAGGTTTCAAGTTTCAAGCACCGGCCAATGCCATGGGCCCTTACCCTTTCTAGGCGGGGCTTTAGCAGCTCTCAATGGTGGCCCATACTATCTAAGGTCAGGTTAAAAGTATGGACCCCTAATATGGGCCATCAGGCCTTTCAGGGGGATTTTATGGACCCTTGGGGGTACATGTCGGGTATACAATAAGTATGTAAGGATACTAGGGCTAAGTCCTTCCTTTGCAGTGTTTTCAAAGCGGGAGGGGTAGTAAGAGACGAACAAGCAAGAGTACGACGGCAAGAACAGCGTGCGACATGGGAAACAAAAGAAAAAGAACTCAAGAAAGCCATCCGGGAGCAGGAGGAGGCCGAGGTACAACAGAATGAGAATCTGATTGCTGCGTGGGAAAAGACAAACACGGCACAACGAGACAGTCAAGAGAGGGAAGCACCAGCGCTTCCAATCGTACCGAAGGAAGACTACACAGTGGAGGTGCAACAGGGCGAGAAGCCAACGTCATCGTGGGAAAGAGCAGACACGGCATGTCAAGAAAACCAACTGAGGGAAGCACCAGCGTCACCAATGCAGCCAAGAGAAGACACCCCAGTGGAAGGGGAGGAGAGCACGGAGGAAGCTGACACAGAAGCAAAAGGCCCAACTCAAAAAAGGGAAGTTGCGAAGGAAGGGCCGGCATGGCACAGAAATACGAGACCGGCGGAACCAGAAGAAGCACCCAGACCGACAAATGAGGTGAAACTGGAAACAGAACAGTTGGCATACTTGGTGTACTGGCTAAGCAAGGAAAAGGCCTACAGGATGGAATGGGAAAGGGAGAGAGCTGGTGACCAAGCAGATGAAGAAATGGAGGTAGCCAAAAAACTGGCCAAGATAGACAAGAAGGCTGGAGAAGAAATGGCGTACCTGGAAACTCGAGACAAATTGAGGAAGCTGATGGTTATTGGACAAGATAGTGGTGAGGAAAAAGGACAAGGAAGGCTACAGGGACAGGCAGACTGAGGGAGTACGAAGAAGTTTACTGGTACAAAAGATAAAGAACTGCAAGAAATACCGTGACACACCGCTACAAGAGAAGTGTATGTCAGAAAGGAGTGGAGAATTCAGCATGCCACCGATGAACCTGAGGCAAAAGACCACAGGGAAGTCGGTCACCGTGACCATACTGAGACCATGCAAAATTCGCGATACCCGCGGTGGGGGAATGGGGTTGGTAACAGGGGTCTAAGGGGATTACTCCTTCTTGAGGGAAGCGGGGAATTACACGTCGAAGACGACACAAAGGTGACAGTGCCAAATTCAGAGTGCAAAGTGGAGGGAAATTTAAAACAGGTAGGATCCGTAATGCGGAATGAGCAGGGATGTTTTGAGATGTGTATAAAAGGAAGTCAGCCGATCAATGAAAGGTCGAGACAGAATTTTCTCCAGAGCAGTGAGATGCAAGGAGTATGTGGAGATCGAAGGGTTGATTGAAGCAGGGAACGGAAATCTCCAAATATTAACCTTTCCTCGGCTCAGTACCCAGACTGTTTTCCCGGGAAATGAGAAGCGCACTGGATAGGGCTCGGGTTTTGGGGGGTAGAAGAAGAAGAGGGGGGCATTGTATGATCCACGATCCAGTGAACGCGGAACTCAGCCCAGCTATTGACCATGGACCTCGGGGCTGGAGGTACGCCTCCGCGACACCTTCGGGTGTCGCACAGCCTATAGAAGAAGAAGAAATGGAGGCGAGAGAGAGAAAAAGAGAGAAACAAACAGAAACAATCCTCTCTTCAGAACTCTCCCGAGGCAGCTACTGTATTCGTTTTGCAGTTGATTGCAAAGAAGAGCGGCATTATGTGGGATCTCTTGCTTTGATTACCAAGAGATTCTTGATCCTCAGCTATCATCAACGATACTTTCGGGTAGTTGCTAAAAGGATGCTCACCCTAAACCCTAAACCTTAAACTCAGGAAGCATTACATGGCAAACCTCCCCCCTGCACTTTGTCAGGGGTTCCCGTGGCATTTTTCTTTGGCCACGCGGAAAAGGACACGGGATCGTCTCGAACTTCCTATGCACCACCAGAATGAACTATAGGGTTTAGGGCGGGTTAAGGTTTAGGGTTTAGGATTAAAGGGGGTCATATAGGGGATTATATAAGGGAGCATTATAGGGCTTATTAGAGGGGATACTGGTACTTTAGGCTGTAGCTCATATGCCCCCGAACCCAAACAGGGGCCCGTGATGTTGAGAAGTGTACATATAAAGCTAGATGGTTTCCATGATATGGCCCCTAAACCCTATTTTAACCTGAAACCTTGGAATCCTAAATATGCACCCTAAATGAACTGGGCCTGGGCTTATGGGTTTAGTTCAGTTGAGGACAGACGGGTTCACGGCTTCAGGTTGCAGGCTCTTCCGGAGGATTCTGTAGGGATTCTAGATAGTTTTCCTGCTTGCTTCAGAGACCACAAGCCTAAGCTATCCAGCCCTGCCCTCCGTGGAGATTCATATGTAAAAGGGCATGGGGCATGAAAGGCAACTCGGGCTTTTTTGCCATTCATATAAGGTGTTGAGTCTGGAAGCCCAACGCCCTAGCCTCAGGGTTTAGGGTTACGGTGGTAAACCCCGACACCCCAAACCAAGACCTCACAGCACATACCTTAGAAGCCGTGCGGAGCCCGGAAACATGAAGGAAACCTCTTGGTGGGTAGGTATCAGGGTAGGTATGAGGTGCGTACCCCCAGGGAAGGCCTGTACGGGTTAAGGTTTAGGGGTTAGGGGTTAGGGCTCCTATAACCCCACAACCCTTATACCATCCTTCTATGGAGTTTTCTTTGCGGGGCACCCATCTGGTAACTACCCACCTGGAGGTTTCAATGAAAACAAAACGCTAAACTTGGGTACTGCCCCCCCCCAGTAACAGTCTATATTAGGGATCCTTTTAAGGGCTATATACAACCATATTATAAATATTATCCAGCTGTTACTGAGGAGGGGCAGCACCCAACCCTAAACCCAAAGCCCTCTTAGATCCTCAGCCAGGACCCAGCTCACATCGACAAGGCCCTCAAATATTTGGAGGAGCCAGGGTTCAGTGTAACAGGGGTGTAGAGTTTACCTAACCCCCCCCCCACAATATGTAAAATAATGGCCCTAAACCCATAATAATATCCCTACAGGCCATTATTTTGCATGCTCTTGGGGTTTAGGTAGAGCCAAAGGTGTAGTGCTTTGTTTTTTCAGACTTAAATTAGAGAGCCATAGGTCATATTACACCAATTAGGGTTCAGGGTTTAGGGTATTGATAATGGAAATCCAGGTAAAGGAAACTGAAATGGAAACTGGGCTTGTGTAGGGGCTTATATGGACTTTTGTTTAGGCTTTATTTGGGGTTGGGGTAAGGGACGACTGGAGCCTTTATGTTCTTAGTATACTTGCTGGGTCCGCCTGACCCTTCCAGTAGAGGTCGGAGTCTACAGATAGCCACCGACCTTGGCCCTAGAGCCTATACCCTAAGCACTGCACTCTACACCCTCAAGCCTACTTTGTGCTATTTGGATCCCCGGGATTAGTGGGCGTATGGGCCTGTTCTAGGCGGTCTTCTCTTGCTGGTGATTTGCTGCGTGGCGGTTACAGGTTTATGGGTCAGTCCCCTAGACCCTAAACCCTAGACCCTAGTGATTGAAGGTGTCCAGCTGCATTGAACCCCTGCTTGACCCCAGACTCTCTGATACTCGCCATGACACTTGAAGAATAGTGGGGTTTCCTATGTTGTTAAGGATAGGGTTTTGGATACCCATATATATATATATACACACATGTATATGTATATCTATATATATATACACACATATTTGTCAAAGTTTATACTGGTAACTCAAAGCGGGACCTTGATTTTCACAACCTACCTCAAATAACCCTTCTTCTGTTAAAAGCAGAATCCCAACAGTGCCCACAGCCAGTCCCTTGGCCTAAACCATCGTTCTTACCAGTCCGGCAAGAACCGTCTCTTAACACGAGAACCGACACTAAACCAAAAAAAGCTACACCCTAAACCAGGTGCATCTCAGATCTCCAAGTCGTTTACGTCTCTAATTTACTGCTGTAGCTACCGTGGATAGAGGAAATCCTGCCCCACCCGGGACCCCAATGGGTTTAGGGTTTAGGGTTTTCCTAGAGTATAGGGTGCATAAGGTGGTGGACGATTTCCTCCATTCACAGTATCATTAACATCACCAGCAGAACTACCACCTGCGCCACCACGTCCACTGGTCGTCATCCTTTATCATCACCTCCACCACCATCACCATGAATGCAGTAGCAGTACTGGCAATAGTAGCCCTAGCACTCGTACGATGACGACTGCGACCATCAGAAGAATATTGCTGATGGCAACGCTACATACGCCGTGCACCGCCAACCCTAATCAACTGAGCTTTAGTCTAAGCTCCTTGAAGGGGGTTATATAAAGGTTTATTTGGGGACTACTACAGGGTTATCAAGGGGGATACTAGAAGTTTAGACCTTAAACCCTAAACCCTATATACTTTCGAGGGAGATACGAGGAGTTTAGACTACAGCTCAAATAACACGCAGGATCCCAAGAGAAAGGCCAAGCCAGCCCCAAATGCCTATTTCCACGACATGCTCCTTGGACAGAAAGCATCAAAAAAGATTGGGCGTTCTCAAGATAGGGTGAGGGTTTAGGGTTTAGGGACATCTCGCGCCGACCCATACGAGCTATAGTCTGAACTCCTTAAAGGGGTTATATAGGGGATTATATAGGGGAGTAGTATATATATATATATAGGGTATATTAAGGGGGATACTAGGAGTTCAGACTATAGCTCAATAGACCTAATAATGGTGATTTCCCGGGAATATAAAGGGGATTCAAGGGGTGCAAGAATTTCTTCATCCATCCCAGTGGCATATGTTTTTTTTGGTGGAAAGCTCCCATATGGCAAAACGCAGACTGCGAGGCATATACGACCAACATAACCCCACCCCCAATATTCAATGTGGCCCCAAGACGTAAGGTCTAAACCCTAAGCCGTAATATTATGGGTGTCATATGCGATATGAGGGATGGAGGGGATTTATTAGTATGAAGGGATCAGTCCACGCAGGGTGCCATGATGTCAAGCATTTCCCATGCAACACCGCTATTATGGTCCCTTGAAGGGCGTCCAGGGTCCTTTTCATGGGCTATAGAGGGTGTTGAATTAAGGTTTAGGGCTTGGGATAGTGGAGAACCAATGGCAAAGACTGTGGCGTTGGAAAATGAATTAGTAACCAGATTTGCATAGGGGATTGTAGGGATTAGGCAGTTTGAGGTTTGCTTGAGGTACCTTATGCCATAATTTTACAAGGCATCATGGGCCATAATATTGGTAGTTATTTACGTTTCTACAGCCTGCAACGTCTAAACAAACTACTTGGCAATCTTTCGCATATATCAGCGATGCCGGAGGTTCTGTGATGGAAGCCAGCCGTGGCCTGTCATTCCGTATATTGATGTCCAACCCTAAATCCCTAAAACCAGAGCCTAAACTTACACTGAACCCTAAACCCACGCATTTCCTGTGGTATCCTACTGCAGATAGGGGAGTAGTATAGGGCTTATTAAGTGGTATACTAAGAGTTTAGACTACAGCTCAGATATTGTTGGGGGTCTCCGCAAATTGGGGATATCTTTTTGAGGGTCCCTGTAATAAGGATTATAGTGTATTGGGGTCCTAAACCCTGAACCATAAAACCCTAAACCGTCCGCCCGTTTAGGGAAGATGCCTTTTCTGAATTTTTTGCTACTGAGGAAGTTTTTCTCGAGTTTCGAGGAGCTTCGCAAGGACCGACTCTGCGCGAATGGAGGCTACATATCATATCCCTATGTATCCCTAAATACTATTTAGGGTTTAGGGGTGTGTCTGCTTTTGCCAGGCTTGACGTTAATGGCGTCAAGAATAACCCCCTCCCTCTAAGATTAAATCCCCCCGACCCCCCAATGTTATTGAATGTTCCCAACGGGGTTGTTTGATATTAGGGGCGGGGCGGGGGCTAAAACCCTTAAAAACCCTAAACCCTAGGAGTGGGGGGTTTAATCGTAGGGAGGGGATTCTGAAGTTCACCAGATCCCAAAAGACCAAGTTAGGTACGAAATTAATTAGGCGTTTAGGGTGTAGGCTTTACGGATTTAGGGGCTTACAGTTCATTTGTAAGCTTCCGGTAGGTATGATTTATAGACTTGGTTCCCCAGGATAAACTCGCATGTAAAAACTCTAAAGCCCCTAAGCCCCTAAAACCCTAAACCCTAAAACCCCAAGCCCCTAAAAGCCTAAATCCTAAACCTGATTTTTTTTAAGGGGAGTAAGACTACACGCTTCAGGCCGAGAACGTAACTGCGAACGCTCTCCATTCTGGCACAGTGACTGTCAACGAGTCCAGCGGCTGCATTGCGACAGAGGTTCCCAGTAGAAGGGAGCTTCTGCTTGAGCAAGAGAAGCAGAAGCTCCAGAAGGAGAACGAGAACCTCAAGAAGCAATTTAAAAACCTTCAGCAGATCATGAAGGAGTTGACGGAGGTGGGAGAGAGCTTGTAAATCAAGGTAGACATTCGTCGCCCTTTATGAACTAAAACCCTAAACTTCGCAAGCCCTGAAGCCCTAAACTCTGAAACACAATCCAACCTAAACCCTAAAGAACACCTAAAGTCCTAAAACACTAGACCCCTAAAATCCTAAACCTTAGAACCCTAAAACACCCTAAAACCCTAAACCCTTTGAACTGCGCTTTTCAAGGCTCCGGAGCACAGGATACTCTCCACGTGGGGTATACGTAATACGTCCCCCGCCAAGTGATCCCCGCAGACCCTATGCCTCGGTCCCTTAACTCCAACTAGGTGCCCCAGTAGTACCCTGTTTCCCTTTTTATTTTGAGGTCTCCTTGTTAAAGCTGAACATCAGGAAAAGGGTACCCTTATTGTTAAGGGTTTACTGGGGAACCTAGTTGCAGGTACCTTATTGGGGGTTTCCATTTTGGGATTTAGGGTTCAGGGTTTCGGGTTTAGGGGTCTTTATTATTGGGCTACCCACCCTTAAACCTAGAATTTTGGAAGCTACCATGTCATCAAAAGCGTATGTAGTTCTATGATTTCGCAGCTGCCCTGACAACTACTGCGCTCCTCCATTTGAGAATTTCTTAGTTTCAGGGTTTAGGGTTTAGGGTCCTGGGACACAAGCATTGAGATTTTAAAGGACCCAAAACCATACAGATTTTAGCCTTAAGGCCTTAAAACATCATTATTTGTGTCCTTTGACCTGTATGGTTAAATACCTGCAACAGATGTACGCAGGAAATGGGGTTTGGGCTGGCGGGTCAGATTTAGCGGTGCGAGGACGCGCGTAGTATAGCTGCAGATGCACTTCTCACCTGAGCCAGCACCCTCAACCCTGAACCCTAAACAAACCCCAAACCCTAAACAATCCAACGCCGAAAACCCTAGATCTCACATAAACCCTAAGCCCTAGAAAACTCCCAATACCGAACCCTAAACCCTAAATGCACCCTCAACCCTACATAAACCTCAAACCCTAAATAAACCCTAAAGCCAAATAAGCCCTAAACCAGACGCCGTAGTGATTGCTTGCAGGACTATCCCGACCTGAAGTGCACACTGTAGATTCAGGTGGCAATAACTTGGAGGTTCGTTTTACTTATAACCTACTTAGTAACTGTAGTTATAACCCCATCATATCTAGGGTAGCTGTAGTTATGGGGTTACACTTGGGTTATATCTACTCTTACTAAGTAGGTTATAAATACAATGTACCTCCAAGTAAGGCAAAGCTCTCTGAGTAGTTGCTGTGCTAAGGAGTTTATGGATGTAGGTTTTCTGGGTTTCGGTTTAAGGTTTATGGGTTCAGGATTTTTTGGGATTTATGCATGGGGTTTAAAGGTTTAGGGTTTATAAGCTGAAAGGTTTAGGGTTTATGTGCTATTTATGAGTTTAGGGTTTATGGTTTGTATTATTTGCCTTTGCGACCCGCTTTTACAGAAATCGCCGAGCCATAGGAGTTATTGCCATCTGCCAAATGTGAGATATGGAGGTTTGCAGACGCCAGGCCTCAACGTCAAAAGTTGGCGACGTAACTAGACCTCCCAAGTACCCTAAAATAGTCTATCTAGCTTCTATTTGGGGATACCTAGGGGCTATAGATTACTCTGTGGGTCTAGGTAAACCCTGAACGCTAAACTTATCCGCAGATTTCTTCCCCCATGGGACGCAGGTTACCTCGCATAGAGCCCAGGGCTCTGCAGCACCCAAGCCCTATCTAAGCCTTCAATCATTCGAGCCATAATCTGAAGCCCCTAGAGGGGGTAATGTAGGGGGTTACGCTCCTGGAAACTAACATGGAAACCCAAAAAGGGCCCTATAAAGGCTACAAAAGGGTAGTATATGGGTTTCCATGCTAGTTTGGGGGAGTGTATATAGGAGATTACTAAAGGTTAGTAGGGGGATACTAGGAGTTTATACCATAGCTCATCTGGCACCGGGAGGGACCGTTGCTTTTGGACAGCGCACACATCATCAGTAATTTGCCAGGTTGCTATTAAGTCATATTAAGGGGAACCTTAAGGGGACTCCATGGAAGGGGGCCCCATACCTTAAGAAGCTAGGGATGCTTAGGCAGCCTTAGGGAGGTTTAGGGAGTCCTTATTTATGGGTCCCCCTTATATGGGGTCCCTTTGAGGATTCCCTAACATATGCGTGTTCTGGCTTCGGAGGTGACTTCGTTTTTCACGTTGGATACCCCCAGAGGGTCCATGTACCCAATAATTAGGTACTTGGGTCTAGGGTAATAGTAATTGTAGTACAGGTTCTGGGTAAGTATATGATTATTAGGTACTTGGACCTTTAGGGGCCAGAACGGGATCTTAGTTCTTCGGAGCCACCGATATTACTCGGGTTGAGGGTTTAGGGGTTGATGATTTACATGCAGAAGCTGCATGGCGTTTTGTATGCTACCATAACTCCTGGGGCTAAGGTGCACAAGGCCATGCCTTTGTGGTGTCCACCACCCGTTTGGTATGCTTTCCTCCCCTAAACTCTACCCTAGCATAGCGTCCTTACGTTTGGCAAGCCTAACCCCCTAACCCGCTAGACCCCAAACCCCAAACCCGGAACCAAAGACCAGATTCGAAAGGTACATGGCCACGTGGTTTTGGTGGGAACCCGTGTGTTTTTTTGCTGTTTGGTCGTTTTTTTGTTGGGTCGCTTGAAGACGAGCCAGGCAGACCGGTAAGTGAGTGAACTCCCGTCCCCCGCCCAAACAGCAAAACACGCTCCCCCGCCCAAACAACAAAAACAAAAAACAAACAAACAAAATACGCACCCGCCCAAACAGCAAAAAAACACACACACACACACACACACCCGACCAAACAGAAAACCAAAAACACACACACACACACACCCACCCACACACACACACACACACCCACACGCACACACACACACACACACACACACACACACACACGCACGCACGCACGCACGAACACACCCACCCACCCACCCACCCACCCACCCACCCCCGCCCAAACAGATAAGAAAAAACAACAAAAAAACACACGGCCCGTGCCCAAACACCAACAAAAAAAAGAAAGCACGCCCACACCCCTTGCCCGAACAGCAAAAAACAAACCCGCCCACCCGCCCAAACAGCAAACACAAAAACACGTTCGGAAGGGGCGGAGGCGTGCGTTCATTTTTTTTGCTATTTGGGCGGGGCCCGCGCCCCCGCCCAAACAGCAAACAAATAAAACACGACCCCGCCCAAACAGCAAAAAATCTAACACCCGAAAAAGCACAAACGACAAAAAAAGACCAGACAACAACAAAAATAAAACACTCTGACCTGTTTTGGTGTAGGGCTCTTGGCTGCCGCCTGCCTCAAGCCTCCTGTAGGTACTCCAGTATGGGTTTAGGGTTTAGGCGTTTAGGGCTTAGGGGTTTAGGCTACCCCAGTAGCATTTTTTTCCACAGGGTTTGTTTTTTGGGGGGAGTTAGGGGTTTAGTTCCAGTACTACCTTGTTTTTCTTTTTATTTGGATGTCTTCTTACTCAAGCTGATAAGTGGGAAAAAGGGTACCCTTATGATTTAGGGATTACTGGGGAACCTAGTCATGACAAAACCGTGGACAAAATCCAAAGCTCCGAGAGGTTGAAGAAACTGGGCAACTAGTTTAGGGTTTTAGGGCTGAGGGTTTAGGGTTGAGGGTTGAGGGTGGTTGCTATCATTCTTGGCCTCGACATGATTTTCTTGCTATTATCGGTATCATTGCTGTGTTTGTCATCAGTGTTATGATCGTTACTATTGTAATTGTGGTTGTTCTTGTTGGTTCTATAGTTTGTTTGCTTGTTTTTCATTATGGTGGCATCCATGTCAATCATGCAATCGTCATGATGATGCTAGTGGTTGGTGTGGCGTGACGCCCTCCATGCGCGGCATAGTAAGCACAGTAATCGCACGCGCCGGCATCATGGAGCCATCATGGAGCCAGCCATAGCCATACGAGCAGGCCACACTCAACCGGAACCTTAACCCTCCTAAACCCTAGACCCTGAACCCTGAAACCCTTAATCTTAAAGCCTTTCTGCTTGCCGCGTAGGGCAGCGCTACAGCAAGCCTTATGGCCCCCCTCAAACCCGAAATCCTAGATCCGAAAACCGTCAACCCCTAAGTAAATCCGAACCTCAAAGCCGAACCCTAACCCCTAAAACCCTTGAACCCCTAAAACCCCTAACGTCCCTATTTAGGCCCCCTTTAGGCCCCCTTTAAGCCTCTCAAC